GGGGATCCCCGGGAATGGGAGATGTGTGCCCTGGAGCAGGGGCTGTGCTGTCTGGGGTGTATCCTGCGCCGAGCGGAGCAGGACACCCCAAATATAGGGTGCTTTTTACCCCCTGCCGGGACAGAGGGGAGAAAGCAGATCCTGCACCCAAGGGAAGTCCCACCCCATGACCCCACTCGGCAGGGTCAGTCCTGCTCCCACCCTCCCAGATTAATGCAGAATTGTCACGGCACAAGTTCCCAGTGAACGCTGGACAGAATAAACCACACAAGAAGCCCCCTGCAACACCCAGGCACCCCAGAACCAGAAGCAGCCTTGGGCCCCTTTCATTGCTCTGCACACGGGGACACCTCAATGTGGGGGGCTGCAGGGTGCTCCGGGGAGGATGTGACTGAGAGGGGAACAATTCCTCCCCGGGGTGTGTCCTGGATGCAGGAGTGTCCCCTCTCCAACACAGCTTAGAAAAGGTTCACATCCTACACCTGAGGGGACACCCCCTCAGCACAGCACAAGTTGCTAAGGAGCCACCATTCTGCACCTGAAGAGACCTCCAGAATGAGGGGGGGCTACAGTGTGCTGTCCCCCCAGAAGAATCTTCCTTCTTGGGGTGTATCTTGCACCCAGGGGAGCCCCCCATACCCCCCACACAAGGTGCTAAGGGGTCACATTGTTCATCTGGAGAGACTCCCCCTCCCCACCTCAGGGGCAGGCCCTGCATTGGGATGTGCCACAGGACCACATCCTGCACCCTATGGAATCTCCATCCCAGAGCAGGGCTGGATCCTACAGTCAGGGAACACCTCCTTCTTTTCTCTCCGGGACAGATCTGGGACAGTGTCCTGCAGGCACACCCAGCCCCATCCCACATCCTGCAGGAAAAAATGCTGCACCCCAGGGACCCCCCACAACCCCCCTGAGGGGTGGGGGGCTGCACCGAGGGATCCCATCCTCAAGAATCAGGATGGGGCCACATCCAGAACACACTGAGCCCCTTGTGCTGTACCCTGATGACACAAACACCACAAAACAGGGTTCTGCACTGACACCCCCATCAGGACAGCAGGGAGAAGGTAAATCCTGCACCCAGGGTAAGCCCCCCAGACCCTGCTCACTCTGGTGCTTGGTGAAACCCTGGAGTCCCCTCAAATTAATGCAGAATAAACCATACAAAAAGTTCCCCCAGATCCAGCATCGTGGGCTAATTACGTTAATGATACTGATCAGAGAAGTGGGGCTGGGGGGAGACCCGGGAGCAAGGACAGCCTCACCTAAAGGAATTTTGGGTAAGAATGGCTGGTTTGAGTGTAGGAGACAGGGTACAGGTGTGAGGTGCCGTGGCCATCCCTGTCTCCATCTCCATCCCCAGCCCTGCAGCTGCGGGGACCCCTCCCCTCCCAGCTGAAGGCAATGATTCCCCCTGGTTATAGGCAGCAGATCCCGGCTCTTTCTCTGCTCCTGGGGAGGACGAGACTGGAGGTGCTCTGAGGGGTGAGCTTGGAAGGGGAAAAAGGAAAAAAATAAGTGCATGTATAATATATATATATTTATATATCTTAAGTGCCTTATTTGTGCTTTGCCCTTTCTGGTGTGTTTAGCTTTGTAGAGGGGATGGTTTCTGGCTTTGTTTATGCATTGTGCTGAATGACTTTGGTGTTATTGTAAGTGCCTAATTTGCCTGATGTTAATTAGTGCCTAGGCAAGGACAGGGTGAGGGCAGCAGTGTTCAGCCCCTGCTTGGCTCTCTCTCAGCAGAGGTTTTGCAGCCACAGGAAGTGTGTGTGACCCCAGCACTGTGTGGGCAGCAGCAATGGAGCCAGGACCCCCTGCCCTCCCTGAGCCCCCCAACGCTGGAGAGGGATGTGCCTGGCAGAGCCTCCGCTGCCTCCGTCTCCACAGGCAGAAGAAGAAAGTGGCTTATTCTGCCCGCATCTGCAAGCTTCTGAACCGGGTGAGTGCTGCTGGCCTGGGGTACAGGCTCCTGCTCCTTCAGTTCTACTGCTCACCCACCTCTCCTGTGCCAAGTGGTGCTGAGCAGGGCTGCCCAGGGCAGTGGTGTCACCGTCCCTGGAGGGGTTTAAAAGATGTGTGGGTGTGGTGGGTTAATGGTGGCTTTGGTAGTGCTGGGGGAACGTTTGCATTTGATTTTTATGGGTTTTTCCAAGCTGAACGGTTCCATGATGTGCTTCCTACAGTGGGTGTGCTGATGCTGTTGGTTGCTCTTCCCACAGACGGGTTCCACTGGGGATTCTGACCTGCTGGCTTCCCTGCTGGCCTGGCTGGCCAGTCCCCAGCTCCTCGGGGATGTGGCCCTGGAGGCCTCCCGGCTGTCCCGCTACTGCAGGAGGAGCCACCTTGGCCACCGTGAAGTCCTGCTGGCCACGAAACTGGTGCTGCTGCGTGAGCTCTACAAGCCTCCTCCAGGATCTTGAGCCATGACCTGAGGCAGGATGGCATAGTTTTTGTAATAATTTAGTATGATTTTGATAAATAAAGTATTTTTTGGCATTGTTTAATGGAGCCTCCTCCCTGGGCTGGCACTGAGAGCAGCAGGTGTTGGGCTGGGTACCTGTGTGCTCAGGAAGGGCTGCAGGGTGGGGGCAGTCACACACCTCAAGAAATGCTCACAGGGCAGCCCAGGCTGTGTCAGCCCGGGCTGCCCCGGTGGGGCTGTTGGGCAGCTGGGTGTATCTTTGCATTGTATTTGGCCAAGAAAAGCAGAAGGAGGAAAGGTGGATGTTATTCCAAGCCCTGGGGTAATACAAGCCTTGGAGGCAGCAGTGTTCCTGCTGTGCCAGGTGCTGGCACTGAATGGTCCATTTTATTTCCAAGCTCTCCATGGAGCTCCTGCACATACCAGTCCCAGGGATGTCTCCAGCTTCTCCAGCTCCAAATCCTGCCATGGGGATGGGCAGGGTACATGGCAGTGCCCAGCCACCTGCCTTCCCTGAGAGGGTTCTTGGTCCCAGTGAAGTGTCAACAGCTCGTGGCAGCACTGGGGCAGCCTCTAGCTGCTGGGCTTGCCCTCCCAGGAGTGTGGGCAGGAGGCTGGAAAAGGGATGGATCCTCCCACAGGGATTGGGTCTTGTAACAGTGGCATGAGCTGAAGGCTATGAAGGTGCCTTCACAGGGAGGTGGTGACAGTTCTGCCCCACCTATGGGCACCACTGAGCTTTGGGGGGATTTGCTGGACTCCGTGGTGGCAGATCTGAGACAGCCACACCCACACAGGTACTGTGGATGTCACTGGTGGGAAGCAGCTCCTGGTTGCAGCTGTTGGTAGCTCTGGCTGTGTCCCCAGGCTTTTCCTGTTTGCTTTCTCCACCCTTTTGGGTGTCCCCAAGACCTGTGCAGTGCTTGGAATGTCACCTACCAGTGCCCTCTGTTTTTGTCCCTGTTAAATATCAGGATAATAGATGCCCTCAAGGAGCAAGTCCTGCCCAAGGACTGAGGGTTGAGTTTTGACGTCCCTGCTTCCTGCACTGCCCTGTTCTCACACCTCCTGCTGAGGAACTTCAGCTCAGTCCCGTCCCTGTTCTGGCAGCCCTGACGCTTTAGGTTGATTAGGATTGGCTCAAATCTATGGATTTGGGGCCAAATCCTATAGAAGTCTTAGCCTTTGTAGAAATAAGAGCTACAGCTGAACCTGAGGACACACCCAGGCTCCTGCACAGTCCCTGCCAAGGCTCTTTTCACCTCCAGCATTCCTGGCTGGGGTCTGTTCAACCTGCCCCAAAAGCTCGAGGAGGGGAAGGGGAGGGTTCCATGCTCTCTGATACATCTGCTTGGGAGCTTCATCATCCTCTTGGTGTTTTCTCTTGTGTTACAGCAAGGAAAAACCAAAATAAGTGTTCATTCAGTGCTTCTTGTCCCTGCAGACAGCCTGGAGCCACTGCCCTCTTCCTTCTTTCCTCTTTATTTCCGTATTTGGAGCTCCAGCTACTGCTGGGAGGGTGACATGTGGAGCTGCTCTTATGCAGTGTGGCTGTCTGACCTAGCCCCTGCAGTAACTGTGTGTGGGATCACTGCCTGGAAGGGAAACTGAGCCTGGAGCCCTCACCAGCTCTTAGGGGATGCTGGGACAGATCAGCAGGGGAGGTTCCTGGCCAGGGCAGGAGATTTGGTGCTAT